TATTCCTCTATCCACTATTCTGCCATGCTAGGGAAGGACGCCGTTTGAGCCTTCAGGCGTTGTCAAATTTCCTTTCATAAAACATACATTTTCAGGGATGCCTGTGAATATTTTCAATTTTACTGTTTCAGAGAATATTGAGTCAGATATAAATTATCCGAAAATTTTGAACGAAAATACCCATAATAATAATCTTCTTAATAATCGAATATTCATACGGTGTTTTTCCTTAGCGCATGGTTTTCAGGGATTTCAGGGTGTTGAGCCCCGAATCAGACTCGGACTTACATTGACTGTGTTGACAATCGCTGCTGGTTTCGCTGATCTCAAGTTTCAATAACGTTGAAATTACATGTCTTTTTCGTAAAATTTCCTGACTTTTCTCAGATTTCCCTAACCTGATGAAATTCCCTGACAATTACACACTGACATTTGACTGACAGTTTTCCAGACATGCGAACCCTCTGTTAGCTTTAGATCTACTACAAAAAACAACACGATGGGCCTCTGCACAAGGTTTGAATCAAAGGACTGCGTTCCATTTTTTTCTCCTCAGCCTTTTTTGAGGAAAACCACTCACACAAAATAAAGTCTAGAATTTAGCTCTTGAACAAGATTTAAGTGTTTACAATTATTCACATTGGTTAAGTGGAAAAAATTCAAAAGACGTCATTTGTACATCTAACTTCCATTCCATACATCCATGTTAAAAACGCTTGTTATTATTGACAGTGTGCATGATCCTCGCTCATAGAGAGCAACTACGTCAGAGATGGAATTTCCTCGATTTTTCAAATTTATAATGCGGCTGGGCCATTAGTCTTGAAGTACCATTTGAGGTGATTAATGAAAATCTCAATCCAAAATCATAGGAAAAACGACAAGTATTATAACGTAAAATTTCAAGGTTAGAATGAAAAATTTCCAGACCTTCCATCGACTTTCTACGGTCAGGTAAAGTGAACTTTAGCTTTCAAAGGTTTTATGAACTTTTCAAGAACATGCTACCCTCACGGAAAATTTAGTTTTTCCTATTTCGACTCTATTCCTTACCAGCCACTTATTTTAAAACATCCCTCAGCCAGAAGAAAAGTGTGCGAAATACCTCTGTACGCAAAACGGGATGAAAGACCGACCGCCACATGCAGACGCGTATGTTTCGCCTTCATTTGACGAAGTAGGCAAAATAAGCTCCGGCATGTTCATAAAGATGCATCGGTCGTTTGTTGTATGTTCTTATCCTTGATTAGATTGTACTTTTGATGGTTCGAGAGGAAAGAATGAAATTATTGATGGCGGAATGAGAGATAAAAGTTTAATTTTGAGACGTTTAAATCCAGGACGTGAAAAAAAAAAACCACACAGCAAAAATATCTTACATAAAAAACACATGGTCCAAATTTCTATTCTTTCAGAGTAACTGATCTTACAATATCTCAGGAGGAAATGATTCAAGATGGTCAGTTTCTTTGAAAATTAAAACTGAGCTTTATACATGTAGAGAGTGTCTAGCAAGAGAAAAAAACAAAAATCAATCGAAAGTTCTTTGAATTGATTGGTAATTAAAAATACTTCGGAAAATGTACAGTTCTTCCACACACAAATAAAATAATTTAAGGGGCACGACAACTCACGGTAAAAAGTATTAACTATTGTTGATGAAAAGGGGAAAAAATAATGAGAGGGCTTTCAAACTGTTACTTCTAGGTTGGTGATGAAAAATGAAATATAGCCAATACAGACAAGAAAACAAAACGGAGATAAATATTTTTAAAACAATAATATACAGACTGAGTACAACTGCCATTGAAAAATAGTCATAAGAGTAAAAACTTATACCTTCCTTAATGTCAAGTTCCAAATTCTAACTTCTACGAAATTTCCTTTAATATTCTGAGAGTTCCGACGTATATGGAAGATATAGACTTCGGCGTGAATCCATTCAGGCAGAAGCCAGATATAGGTACTTAAGCACGTCTATCATTACTGAAAGTATCAAGAGTCTATATTTTTAGGTTTTTTCTCAGAGTCCCTGTATTTTTCACAGTTTTTTTGCGAAATGAGATTATTTGTGTTGCCTGATCGTTTCGAATTCTCTAAAGTATGTACTAAGAATTCACATATTTAATGAGTCACGGTCATTTCTATTCAATAATTTTTGATACCTCAAAAACCTACATTCCATCTTTTTTAGAGCGAATCGTCATGCTGTAAAGATCACCCTGCCCTCATTTTCATATTACAAAGGTTGGTAAAGTTTTTAAACACTTTTTATCATGGCGCTTTTCTTGAAAAACGTTAGGCCCACTATCCGAGACCTATCACAATCACATCAAAATCAAAAAGGCATTTAAGTACTCATTGGTAAACCTTAACCTTTCATCTTTATATTATGTACGAACATCATGTGCATTTTATAATTTGCCCTGTTGGATAAGTTCTTATTGCAAACTTTACAGAACGTCTCGGCAGTATGAGATAAGAGGTGGCTTTTGAGACTGGATTTGTGCTTGTAGCGTATCCCGCAAATTTTACAAAAGAACCGTTTATCTTCGTCCGAGAACAAACCTCGTGTCTGACTCTGCAATCCGTCAAACTCGAAACCTGTAAAGAGACAAGTTTTGGTTATTGAAGCAAAGGTACAAGGAGTCACGATGGTTCACGAATAAGAAGAGGTGCTCATAGGAGCCGTACGTTCAGGGAGGCATGGAACGTAAGAAAGAAATGAAAGCATGGAAATTTCAGTGAAATATTTCATATTTTTCAGGGGTTAGAATATGCAACCCGAACTCAAACACACAAAATTAGAAGGAAGTTACAATTTTTACATTTTGCGAAACATGAAGAGGAACCGGTATTTTTCGGCATCTTTCATAAATTTCTGAAATTCGCGTGATACATCAAGATTTTATTTTTCATGAAATTTTGCCACCACGCGTACGTTTCTAACCCTAAAATTAGTTAACAGTTTTAGTGCTCAATCTTTCAACTAAAGTAGTATCTGCATTTAATTATAAACCAGTACTTCCAGACTCTGCCGATAGTTTTTAGTTGCATTGCTCCGTAAAAATAGGAATAAGTGTCCAATATTGGACCTCCTCCTACTTTTGCTCGCTAACACCTAATTTTTCAATTTTTCAATTTTTCAATTTTTTTTTTTTTTTGGGTGTGTGTGTGAATCTGGAATAATTTTACATAAGCTCAGAGTTCGTTTGCTTTTTCCTTTAATTGGGTATGTAGTTGAAGGCGTTGAAAAATTCACAGGCCTTTTAATACGGTTGTGCTATGGAAGAACGCAGCATGAACCTTCAGACGTTGCCATATTTCCTTCAATAAATCAAATTTACAGAAGAAATTGTGATTATTTTTCTTGAAATTTTTAATCTGAAAAATGTGAAAATTTCATGGATAAATATAAAAAACCTTTTTAAAAAATACATGTTTTAGTCGATATGATTCGGCAACTCTCAAAAGTTCGTATACGGCGTTCTTCTGATAACAAGTTCCAGCTGGTCCTCCTGAATAATGCTATTTGATTGCATGGGCGGGGGAGAGGGGGCGTGCGCCCTCCCCGTTCGCCCGAACAAAATCCCGAAAATACCATCCTATCATTCCTACAGATGATGTCGACCGAAAGTCCCATCATAGGTCCATTGGCGGATTCAGCAAATTGGCAACATAGTCTTTTCTCCATTTAAACAGAAGGAAATGTATCGATTCTTGGAGGGGCCAGGTGTTGCGACAATAATCGATTATTTAGCATGGGTATAAAGTGAGGAAAGCCGGTGAAGCGAAATCGCTAGATCCGCCTCTGGATAGATTCTTCCTTTTTCTTCAGTCCCTATAATAAGTGTCGATGGTGACACCAAAAAAACGGATATCTGGAGAAATCATGAAGAAATGGAGCACGATCAAGGATTTTTAAACGTTGCCATTGAGATACCCTGGTAAAAATTGGCAGTAGAATGTGTGTTCCAAAATACTATAGACCTAAAGCCGACTGTAAGATTTCCAATAGCTTCTGTAGCCGGCTGTACAATTTCTTAAGGCCTTTTATACCCGATGGCGATTGCAACAGCCAGACGATAAAGTTTATGCTAAACGTTACTGAATACGGATACTAGGACTTAGTCAGTTTTTGGACTACCGCTCTCTTTTTGTGCGGTAGTATCTTGATTTATTTTGCGAGGAAAGCTCCGCACTTTTGAAGGATGACTGTCATTCTTAATATGTTGGAGCGCCTTCAATTTCTTATGATACTGTGCAATACCTCTGGTGTGAAATAGTTGCTTCAGACGCCGTGGCACGCTGCGGCGCGGCGGGCGGGCAGAGAGCTCGAAACGCGCATTGGCGCCTACAAACCTAACAGGGATACTTCACGCATTGCACAATGCGTGAAGTATCTCGTTAGGTTTGTAGGCGTCAGTGCGTCGCCGCTCCGCTTTGTGTTGGGCTCTAATATTTAATCCCGCGGAGTCAGCGTTTTTCAACTCACGATTTTGAAATGTTTGCACACTCTGTATGGACTATTCTCATTTTAATTGATGAAAAAAAAATATGTTTTAAAGGAAAATATAATGTGTGTTTTGTAAATATTAAGGTAGTTCCGTATCAAACTTAATGATTTCCAAAGCACACAAATTTCTACACAATTTCTTCTAGCCTTTTATAGCCAATGGCGATAAAGGGTACAGCCCGGCGATAGGAACTATAGCCCGACTGTATACTTTTTTATAGCTTCGTATAGCCCGGCTATATGATTCGCTCCGCTTTCTACAGCAAGCTATACATATGATTTTCAATAGCCTTCTTTAGTCGGCTATAAGAACTCCTATGGTATTTTGACACGCAGCTCCTATCGCCAATTTTTACCAGGGTAGGTACGCATATAGCCATCCATGAACTTAGATTTGATTGAAACACTGCATTGGATTGAAAATCAATATATAAAGGACTAGTTCCTGGGATACTTAGTGATACTTAATTCATAAAATCAAAAATAACGACTATTTAATTAATGATTTATTCGATGCCTCAACAAATGGAAAAAACCAAACAAATAAGATCACGCTTTCGCAGAGGTTACACACTTATACAGATTGCCCTACTACGATCAACAATCACATTACAATAACGATAAAAAAAGACAAAAAAAGAAAATTGTAAGTACATTCAAAATCATGAAAAAAATCTGGCACAAGTTAGTGCAAAATACAGACACATGGCTTTTAACCTAGATTGAAATTGGTTTGAATTCATGGCTCAAGTTAAAAAAAAAAAGTTAAAAAAATGACACAATAAAGGGACAAAAGGGATACTCACTATCAATTTTAAAGCGTAAGACGTGCTCATGAAGATTGCAGTTATATCAAAAGCTACAGTCATACGGGTGTTCAAATAATTTAAATTATTCGTTAGTGAAAGGAGACCTACGTCGATCCTAAAACAGAAACTTCCAGAAAACAAAAAGAAATTGGAATCGGCTTTATGGGAATCGAAAAAGAAGAAATGGAACGCTATGATTAACGACTTAGACAAAGATCCTTCGGGAAAGGCTTACTATCTAGTAAAAAATTAAAAAACCCTAAATTTCAGGACGAGAATACGATCTCAAACGAAGAAACTATGGAAAATTATATAGAAGCTCAAATAATATTGTCGACCTTCACACGGTATTTCAGAGTGTTGGTCTCCATTCATAATGTCTCTTTCTGCTGCACTCAAAACATTTCATTGAATACTTAAAACAAGGGATCAGTCGGCAATTTCTACAGATTTATTGTGCACGAGGATCATATGGCGCATTAAGGCGGAAGTTGAGGACGTAGATTTATTGCAAAGGGCACAGGTAGTTTTGCCTAGGTGCACCTTCTTGTGCTTGCTAAGACTTTGAGAGTGTTTGTACACAGCCCCGCAGATGTCGCAGATGTGTCCGCACGATCCATCCATGCTCGCGACTGCGAAGCCTATGACATGAACAAGCAAAAGTTCACAGATTAGATTAAAGTATAGCTATACGTCATTTCAAATTAAGAAAGTAGAAAGAATATGATTCAAAATTTTGATGAACAATCAATAACAATCATTAGGTAGGAAGCATAGAGTACAATACTGCCTTGCTAAGGAAAAACGCCGTATGAGCCTTCAGGCGTCGCCAAATCTCTCCTGGCAAATCTTCAATTTTCAGGAAAATTTTTGAATATTTACTGACCAAATTCTCAGAAAATTTTGTTTGTAATTTGATCTGGAACTTCTCAAAATTTCAAGGAAAGATATTCATAATTTTCCTCAAAAATGAATATTTTATCGAAGGAAATTTGGCAACTCTCGAATGTTCATACGGCGTTCTTCCTTGGTACGGCAGAATAGGACGTACTTATTTATGCTAAAAGGGACTATAAGCAAATGGAAAGATGAGGTGTGCTCGGGCAAGCTGCATAAGAAACGATGTAAAAGCGGATATAGTTCCTTTCGAGAAAATGGAGAAGCGGGATTTTCGATTAAATCAAAAGGAACTGAGCGGTAACTCGTGAGCCGTGGGCATGTAACAAGAGCGTTGTGGACAGGGCTCATGAGTTAAAGAGTCGCCACCGATCTCCCTGTCGTGCCCCGTCTCCATCGTTGCCGCTGACGTCACTGGCGCCTTTAAATTCCCATTCATTCTTATGGCCCTCAACTAACGAGCACACCCCGTCTTTCCGCTTGCACATAGTTCCATTTAGCATGAGAACGTCCAATAGAGCTAGCCGCAATTTACTGGTGCGCCGATGAGGTCAATCCATAAACGGGCTATTCCGAACCTCTTGTTCGCCGGAAATGTGAACCAAGTGTAAACCAAACGGCATTTTTCAACACGGTGGTACTTACGACAGTACTGCTGAACAGTGATATGGTCCTAGCAACACTGCCCTGACGATCTATCATTGAAGATCTTTCCGTGCCTTTGAAGATGATTTGAGCATGATGAAAATGTTTCGCTCTTTTATTTATTTTATTAATTTTTCATTTGTTCTAAGTCACACTCCCACAATTGCAGAAAATTACTAGGAAAATAAATAGAAGATATAGAAATTTTTTATTAATTTATTCATGAACTCCGTGGATTACTTAACATATTGCACAACGCATAGTGTAGTCTACGGCAATTCCAGCAAGTTGGCAGCACTGTTAATACTCCATTCAAATCCCTTGAATAAATCGATATTCGACGAAGAATCGATTGTTTAACATACATTTAAATGGAGAAAGAACAGTGTTGCCGACTTGGAAAAATCGCCACCGAATGTAATTTACCCGTGTGCACTTGCTTGTCGCAGCAGATTTTGGAAGTTGTGATGTCGGCGTCGCCCTACATCGTACCTGGGATTACAGAAAGTCACACAAACAGAGGAGGAATAAGAAAGCGGGAGAATTTTGAGGGATTTATTCATGAATCCCGTGGACTAGGAGCATATGTTGCTTGAGGTAGTGTTTACTGGAAACGACTTTATCGCACAAGGAACAGTAGGACTCTCCCGTGTGGACTTGCTTGTGGCGCACAAGATTCTGCGAGTTGGTGTAGCCGTTGCCGCAAATGCCGCAGATGAACCTTTTCACAATACTCCTACACTGCGCACTCGATTTTGCGATCTCTATATCCACAGCTGAAATAGAATAATACCTTTTTAGTTCAACATCATCATGAAAAAAAGAGGCTTTCTCAACATCGATATGGGAAAGGGGAGAAGACTGCCTTGCAGCACCACCAAGATGCAGAGGTGCATCGCTTTGACTTCGGGGGGGCTAAAATTTTAGCCTCCGAAAAGCGTTATTTTCCGCGTCTTCTCCTCGAAATGATAAATATCTTGAAGCGCAGGAACAAACTTTGTAATTACCGCGCTGATGTTGATGGTCTCTGTGCCTCTTATCACCAGTTTTTCCTCCCAGAGGGAGCTGGTGATTAAATTTCCATCCTTTTTTGTAATCTTTGTCTTGTGTGCTTTGATTTTGCTGCATTGTGCCGAGTCTGTTTACCTGGTAATCAGTCTCGGTCTCGCAATTACAGCGGAGCGACGGCTCTTTTTTGTTTTTAATTTATTTTCCGGTTGATAATGAAATTGTTATTATTTTGAAACGTCCCGGGTTTTGTTTATTCCTTTTTCTTTATTTGCAGCTTTTTCCCCAAATTAAGTTGTTCTTTCATCATCATGAAATTGGTAGGTCAATCAGGTGGGAGGTCCTAAGAAACTCGTCTTCGTGTCCACGCGTGGAGCTTGGAGGCAACCCCCCCCCCCAAAAAAAAAATAATAATGACCATATCAATGCTGCCTTGCTAAGGAAGAACGCCGTATGAGCATTCGAGACTTACCAAGTTTCCTCCGGTAAAAACCTAATTTACTGGGAAAATTACCAATATTATTTTCCAAAATTTTCAGACAATTTTGTACGCAATTTAATCTAAAATATCTGAAAATTTCAAAGAAAAATATGCATGAATGTTCTCAAAAAACATGTTTCATCGAGGGAAATTTGGCAACTCTCGAAGGTTCTTACGGCGTTCTTCCTTAGCGCGGTAGAATGGCTACAGTGCGAAACCACGTATTTCCGTTTGGAACGTTGCAGACTCCCTGTCATACTTTATTTTCTCAATAAAAAACTGGTCAACTTAATTTCTTGGAAAATCGCTTGATTTTTCTTCTTTATTGGCAGAAAAGTCCGCAGTAATTTCAAGATATATGGTCGACTTGTTTCTCTTTAAAAAAATAAAATAGGGGCGGAGATATTGAAATGCCGCGATGGGGATACGTGGTTTCGCACTTTAGCTATCGATATGTAGCTGCTCAGTGCCATGTTGGATTCCCGTGAATGAACGATGAATTACGTACTGTACTGTCAGTGGGGCGCAGGTTCAAAATTTTCAAGTTTTTTGTTGCAATTTTAGCTCCCTGAAGTGTACCTTCGGCTATTGTATTTTGCCTGCAATACCGCGGATGCTTTTGAACGAACAGCAAATAAAGAGGACGAACAGGTCATAATTTGCAAAATTCGGGGTTTTCAAAGTCAGGGTGTCTACTAAAACAGGCTGGCCGAAATTCAGCACTTTGACAGTACTTTTATAGTGCATTCCCGAGAAATTCAGTACCTCCTCAACAGAAAAATTCAGTACTTTTTCAGTAGCTCCATTAGACGAAATTCGAAAAATTTCAAAAATTTGAATTCCTCGCTCAAATTGCGACAAAAATGACAAAAATTCCGGACCTTCTTGCGGAATTTCGGTACTTTTTCAGTACTTCCGGACCGCCTTTTAAAAACCAGTACATATTTCAAGACTTTCCGGACTTGTAGACACCCTGAAAAAGGGACGGGAAAGGATTTTTGCATACGTGCCAGAACCGGCTTTGCGATTGAAAGATACGCTTCGTCCTGATGGCTTGCGCTCCTTAGGTGCTGTTAAGTATTCCGCCAACCACTTGGGGGAGGGGAGTTGAACTTCCCCTAACAGATATTACGAGAAGAGAGGGAGCCCTGCCTTAAAGTAAGCCTCCCTTTAAAAAAATAAAATGAACATTTTACGCTTAAAAACAATTTTTCCCAGATATTATTCAGGCTTTTCCGTTGTGTTCCGGGAAATAGGGGGGGGGGGGGGGTGTCATGTTTTTTACGAATCATTCTATTGTTGAATATCTCAAAACACCAACTTTGTGATTATGACCCTTTGGCAGTAAACAAGTGTTAAGGACAATACTCGGGCATTCAGAGAATAGAAAAGGTGAGAAATAAAGAGAAGAAAATGAGACCTACTCAACAAATTAGTGAAAATTTATAGGGTTAAGAAGTTTCAAAGAGTAACTGAGATTATTTTAGGTAAAAATATTTATTCAAACAAAGATTTCTTTCAAATATGTAAATTATTTCCTGGCCAGAAACAAACATACAAAGAAAAAGAGAAAAGAGAAAAAACAAGGAAAAAATAAAAAAAAGCCCGTGACTTAAAAACAAATTCAACGCTTCACACAAAGTATAATATTGACATTTCTTGATAAAATAACAATGCTGGAACAATTAAGGCAAAACTAATCACTAAAAAGTTAATAATTTTCTTTTTGATCTTCCACTAAGCGTTTCTAATATATAAATTACACAGTGAATCGAACAAAATTTCACTCAGATAAACCAAACTATTCTACGCATGATTCTTCAAACATCTTAAATTTTCACGAAATGAGCATGAAAAAGTTGAGGAGGTATGTGCAAGGAAGCTCTACGGGCCCGAAACCACATTTTGAAACGACAACCTCCAAAGTTTCGATTTCCTTCTTTATTAATTTTAATTATGAGCATAATAATTCAACCATCGAATAAAAATGTATTTGCCAATAAAGTATTTTAACGATTAGAATGCGCTCATTTAAAAGTAATTTAAAACATTTTTGTGGTGAGCATATCTTTAAAAACTTGCAATTGAAAAAAGAACCAGAATTGAGGGGCTTGGAGGACACATCGCATAAGTGCAGTTTCAGCTATTTCGAGAAACTAGTGTTGGGAGTTTCGAAATCATATGGATCTTTATGGCGGAAGGGAAGTTCAAACTGACTTCTCAATCATTCAAACTTTGATGGCCTGATAAACAAGGCTATGCCCTAGCCGTTCGTAAAAGAGGCAGAAAAATTGGAACGTTGGAGCAAATTTTTCAGAGAATATGCATTAAGACTAGTTTGACATGGAATCATCAATGTCTCCATTTTTTCAAAAACTGTACTAATCGTGTCCTTGTCCTCCAAGCCCCTCAATTACTTCATTAAGAGAGCCCATCGATTGAAGGATAATCGAACACTTATTTGGACGTATTTATGTTAAAAGGAACTACACTNGGGGGGGGGGGGGGGAACACATTGGATTTAGAGTCCAGACTCTTAAAAACATCGACAAAAAAAATACTCTTGATTGAATCAGATTTAGGCTTAAATCAAGAACCAAGCCTCTTAATTTGAGCGGATTTCCTTTTGATTTAAGCTTAAATCTGATTGAATCAAGGGTCCATTTTCTTGTCAATGTTTTTAAGAGTCTGGATTCTAGATCCAATGTGTGGTTTTTTTTTTTTTTTTTTTTTTTTTTTTTTTTTTTTTTTATCTGCCATTCAAACCTATGGAAAAATATCGATATACAGGGTGTTCGCAACGAACACCTTAATAATCGATTCTTCACCATACCTTCAAATGGGGAAATATCGATAATCGATCATTCACACCACGTCACTGGGACAAGTGGATTCATCCCAGGAATGATTGCGCGCATCTTACTCAATTTTTGACAAAAAGTTGTAAAATTTTCCAACGAATATTTGTAAGGACATAAGACTTTAGAAACAGGGTTGCCACAGCATTTAGAAAATGAAATTCCCTAATATTTCCCTGATTTCCCTGACATATTTTGGTGAAATTCCCTGACAATTGAAGATGTGACGGATGGTTAAGAAGGCATAATTGAAAATGGTTTTCGGGCGAAATTTGTTGTTCAAACCTCAAGCTCATTCTAGAAAGCAAATGAAGGTGATATAACAAATTTTCCCTGATATTTTCGTCATTTTCCCTGACTTCCTAAAATTCCCTGACATTTCCCGGTTTTCCCTGACTGTGGCAGCCCTGAAAATCCCACAAACAGACCCTAACAGCCCTGAGGGCTTATATCCACCTACCTCCTCAATTCTGAAACTACTATTTCAACAAACGAAATTCGTTAACTTTGGCTGTTTTCCTAATATCCAAAGCACTACGATTTGATTTGATTCTCAGGTATTTATCGGAAAAATGTCATACACTTTAAAACGCATCAATCAATCGACTGAAAACCGTATTATTCTGGTAGTGCTATGGATATTCATCTTAACATTAGATACGTGAAAAGGTCTTATTTGCCGATTTCTCAGTTTTCGGCTCCTCGTGACTTTTAATATAATTTTTCTACCAATGAAGAAGAAGCAGTGTGTAGTTCTGCCTGCAAGCTAAACGGCATTCATTACGGTTTTATGTCACTTCGGATCGAGAATTTTCGACGAAAGAAAAATCACGTTATTCAGGCACGAATAAAAGAAAGGTGCAAGTAATCAAACTGATGCTTTACATTATTACATTAACATGACAATATTACATTAACTTGATTAAAGGCTCCCGTTTGACATTAAAATTGACGCTATCTAATGGCTAAAAGTTAATTGCTCGGTTGTTGGAGATACGTTACATTTTATAAAACGCGATGAAAATCACAATACTAAACTGCAGAAGCCGTTCTTGAATCATGGACAACGATTCCACGCCCTCCTTCAGCGAGACTCTGAAACTTGATTTGAGATTCAGGGTGTCTAGCAATTTTCAAAAAAACAATTCCCTGCCATTTCCCCGATTTTCGTCACAAAAGCGGCCAAAGGACCGGGGAAAAATTTAAAATCCCATGACAGACGAAAAAAATAATTCCGTGATACTCCCATGACAAAAAGGAAAAATATTCTTGAATTCTCGACACGGTTTAACTGATTAGAAGTAAGTAACCATTTTTTCATGTTCAAGGAATATAGTGTAACGAATAGAGCAAAATAAATATAGTATGGTGCCTAAACTAATTTCCGAAAAATCTATCTTTCTCGATGTCCTTGACGTTTTTTAGAAACGAAAATCGCTGGCAAAATAGAATCCCCTCCTGAAATGCCGATTTTTTTCGGATTTCTCTGACAAAAAAAAAATCCCTGACATTTCCCAATCGCTAGACACCCCGACATTTTCATTGGAATTTTGTTTCGATTCTACTGAAAAAATTGTACATGATAATCATTGATTACCACGTAAAAATCTTCAAATATGATGCTGATAGCAAAGCTTCGACGAACAGACTGTAGTACGTATTCTATGTACTATGTCAACTCTCTGACGCATGGATTTGAAGGACAATGGTTCAAATTAAAATTGCATTAACACGAGTGCATTTGAACACGGATACACAGGTAAATACGCAAAAGCAATCAATGTTGGCGGTTTGAATGCCTAAAGCATACAAATT